CCTAGCCTATCTACCATAAGAATATGAGCGAAATCGAATTTTCGACCCTTGCCACGAAATTAAGAATTTGTCTCATTTTTACGGGCAGGCACTCTTAAACCATGTGTCTTTTAAAGAAAGGTGCTCAGAGGGTAGGATTAAACATCCATTAACCCATCTAGTTGTGTCACCATTACAGAACCATTTTCACAGACAACTGATGCCAGACAGATCTGTCATCTTTGTGACCAATAACAGTGTGTGCTATTGAGTTACAATGTATGGTACATGCGAGAAGTTTAGAGGGCACGGAAGAATTTTAAAAGTCCCCAAGTGAACCATAGCCCAAACATGTACAGCTAAATGCACAAGCCAATATCGATATATATATATATGTTTTACCTTAATTGTTGTTACATTGTGTTAACTGTAACTCCTGCAGGGCAAAACCTTTCTGGCGAAGGGATTTGCTCATGCTGTCAGTGTGCACTATTGGATTAAAGTATAATTCTACTGGTATACAACTGCAAATGCGGCAATCTGATTAGCTGAGCTACTCATACACTATCAGCCATTGGAGTGCAGTGGTTAGAGGTCTTGAGGAAGATTTAGAAATATTACTGGACAACATAGTAAATGGTTTGAACCCAGGAGTATCACATTGCTTCACATCATCAACTGACAAACCACAACATTGACTGGGACTCTGCTCAGTACTTAACCTACAGTACAAACTATTTTCAAAGAATGACTCTGGAAAGCTGGTACACTAACCTAGAATAAATGCCACTTAACAGATGTCAACAACTACCGGCGCCTTACAAACGACTTATCCATGACGGAAACGAAACTGACAAACGGACTTCCAACAGACCGACTTAATTTGACCAACAATTAATAGACGGACCAAAAACCGACCAATTTGACTAACAATAAGACAGGTCAGAATCCACCAATGACTGATAACAAACTTTACACAAGTCTTTCAGCCAATACCATCATGGCTAAACTGACCGATCATGTTCAATGGACCAGACTGACAAAAACTATTCACTTGACTCTGAAGATGACTTCCGTTCAGGTTGTCAAAACGTCAGTCACCAACAACAGTTCTTTTCAGAACTACCCTCACCCGGACGATCACACTATACGATCTATTACTGGACAATTTAATTCTAAAGAACACTTAAGATAGGAATTATGTGACTTTAAAAACTGGAATTTTCTCAATGAGCCCATAAACGCATGTGCACAACTGCAAGTTTCAAATAACAATTCAATCCATGCAACTTTGCTAAAGCATGGAGTTTAACACTATACTACATTGAGAAATGATTCATAATGTTTATTAAAATGAAATTTAGTTAGAATTCTACTAAAACAATTCACCTCTTTGCTCTCGATTTCTATTAAACAATTAGATTATGAGCTCGAGATTTCTATCGCATGATAGTTGATGAGGGCGTAACCCCAGTCAACTATCACGCAATAGAAATCGAAAGCGAATAATCTAATTGTTTTGGTATAAATTTAATAGTCATTCAAAAATCTGTCTAAATCCTGTTCACAGACACTTCGAACTCACTAAGAAGCGGCCATCATTTTGTTATCAAGCGCACACTGCTACGCTACTCACTTTGTATCACAGAATAGATAGTGAGTAGCATGGCTAATCAGAGAACAGCATCCGTAGTAGATTTATACTAAAAGGTGATAGTATTTGAGGCTGAAAGCCGAATTAATTATCACCCAGTAGAGTCATTATCACTCAGTTCAATTACCATAGCTTGGCGTACGGATGGACAGTCACATGACAACCAAATTTTTTTAGATCGATGGGTTACCAAACTTTCTAAGGTACAGGGCTCTGCTCGCAGGAGCTCTGCTAATATAGAAAACATGATTTCTCATTGAAGTTGCGAAAATACAGGCTGTGATTTAATGTTTGTTTCTTTGCAGGTGCTCTTTCCACAACTCGGTCAAAGGCCATGGCAAGAGTAGATATTCCAGTGTTTGATTGGCCAAAAGCACCATTTCCTTATCTGAAGTATCCATTAGAGAAACATGAAGGAGAGAACAAAGTAGAAGAGGAGAGGTGCCTTGAGATGGTAAGGTCATAGTTTTTTAAATAGGGGGATTGGTTATGAAACTGGGAAAGTTCTTTGTTGTTTGTTTTTTTGACCTTGGCCACTCAGAAAACACAATTGTCGGTTACTACTGACAGAGGAACTAACCAAAAGAAACAATTTGCTTGCGTAATTCATACATTAAGTGCATGAAGGCAAAGAAAAAGAGCACGGTCGTGGACCTTTCAACATAAATCTTGGCATCTTTGCCTGCTGCTTTGATGTTTCCCCTCCATTAACTATATTAAGATATGCATCCTTTACTACATCACTTTGCAATAATTTGAAATGTTGAGGATGTCAGGTTCAGTTCAGTTATGAAGGCATTAATTCACTGTTGGCATGGAGAGAGCAGATATAAAATAAATATAATAATTATTGTCTAATGTTGGACTGTTTTTCTTATGTCCTTCTGTGTGTGTTTTCCATATTGAGTCCTGTGCTGTCTTTTTGTTCTGTTCTGTTATTTAAGTTGACAAAAGAAATAGGTAATCCACTGTTTTTCTACTGTTAACAATTATTGCCTTCAACTCCATTCTCCCTTGTTAAAATCAAAGCAACATCCAGTTTTCACACAGTTAGCACAATGTAATTGACAGGGAATACCACTTCCCTCAAAATGAAAAACCAATTGAAAAATAAGGAAAGATAAGTAAAACTACATAGTTACACAGTGAAGATTATTTCATTTAAGCCATTTGCTCTGTTTTGTTTTCTATAGGCACGTGAAGCAATTATTAGTAGTAACAATGTTGGCAAAAATGTTGCTGGAATAATTGTGGAGCCCATTCAATCTGAAGGAGGTAAGAATTGTGTAAAAATTTGCATTTGTGACCACCAGGAGGGGATAGCTTAAAAATAACTTTGAAAGAAAAACCTAACACTGTAACATGGAACTTATTTTCACTCAACAAACCCAGAGGAGGTTGATCCTTTATTGAAAGCTTTCAGTAAGACCTTCTGGTAATTGCAGCCCTAGTAAACATAGATTACCCTGCTATATGTTGTTTCAGACCATTAAAACTACTACTGAGCCACAAATTCTACAAATAAATAAGCATTAATACAACATTAAAATGTGACTTCAATGATACAGTGGAACCCTACCTTATGGCCACCCCGTTAATACCACCACCTCATTATCACGGCCACTTTATTGTGGTCTGAGCAAAAGCTCAGTCAGTCATTTTCAGCAGTTCATACAGCCAAATTGTTATAATCCATTGGTGACCGGATTAATGGGGTTCCACTGTAACAAAATTTAAAGCTAACCTAGCTGCTGTACCTTCTAAAGCCATGCATCGTCTCATATTAACTATAATGGATTATTTTTAACCCAATGATCACTTCATTTTCAAAGAGAAATGTAACAGACTTAGTGAGGTCTGTTGCACAATTCACGCCTGGAAAACTTTGGGGTTGAATCTCTTCTCACTAAATTGCAGTTACAAGAAAAAAATTCATCAAAGGAGCCCTGTCGTAATCAATCAAACTCAAATCATTCGATTGACTTGTCATTAGTTAGACAATCAAGACAACACAAGTTACATTTTGGATTAAAACCGGGCTTTGATGTGCGTGTTTGTGAAAAGTTTGGGGTAACATTATTGAATCTAAGATAATATAATGCTGAAAAATTATGCTCACAATAAATCCAGTGGAAAGATTTTTTTTGGGGGGGGGGGAGAGGGGTGGTGTCTAAGAAAATTTTATTAACACTTAGATATAAATTATTGTTGAAGATAATGCCAACTTCTACTTTATTGCTCGAGTAGCAGCTGAAGCACGCTTTGTAACCCCATTCACAAGACCACATGTCTGTGGTATTTTCAGAACTGTGGACTTCTGGTAACATGTATACAATATTCGTATTCCCTGACGGTCCTGGGATGAGTGGCCCTTGAGCATGAATGCGAGGCTAATGCGGGGAAAAGTGAAAGGGATGTGGAGTGTTTATGTAGTGATTTCTTTGATTTTGCGTGAAAATGCCGAAACATCACTGTTACTACAACTGTACTAACAGCGAGGCAAAGAAAAAGGACCCAGTCAAATACCCCGAAGTTGCAAGTGTTACTTTTCATTGTTTTCCATCAAATGACGAAAAAAAACAGTAAGCTCCTGGAATGAGTGAGCAAGAAAGACGTCAAAGGTGAATCACAGCATGCCGGCTGGAAAGCCTAAATGTCACAAGGTATACTTGAATATGCTCTAAACACTTTGAAGGAGGTCTAGGGCCAACAAAGGCAAACCCTGTCGCTACGATATTTGATTTTCCTAAACATCTCCAGCGAAAAGAAGTGAAACCACGCCAGGATCCGGATGCGAGACAATTGAAGAATACTTCCACAACAAACAGAATTCAGAAGGCAAGCAAACCTGGCCAATCAAAGGTTAGAAAACACAACGAAAGTGTTATAGGCAAAGAAATCGGTAGTCAGGATTTGTTGATTGCGACACTGGAGTTACATTACAATACAATCGGTGATCAGCATCTGTTGCTCGAGAAACCTCAACCAGCAGAACTCCATGTGCGTCGTAAGAAGATCAAAAACAGTTTAGTATATCATGATGAAGCTGTCCCGACACAGTTAATGGCAGAACAAATCACCAGAATGGAACAGGCACCCTTTAAACAGCGAGATGAATTAAAAAGAGATTTGTCTATGGAGAATGTACAACGAGATGATAGTTCAGTCAAGTTTTACACTGGCTTACCTTCACTCTCGTGTCTGCTCATGTTATTTGATTTTCTCAAGCCTGTTGCAAATTGCATGAAATACTGGGATGGAAAGAACAAGACACGAGTAGAAACATATCAGGTAAAGCTATAGTAATTAATAATCTTTATTGCTCTGTAAAATTTTCATGAAAAAATCCAATTATATTTCCTGATTCCTTTCCACCAGTAAAACCCATTCTATCTGTCTTTCAAGTGCATGTGTAAGTAAAGTGAGAGTCACAATCATAGTATATTTTGAAAAATAAAAAAAAAAATTTTCCCTGCTTTACACCACCAAACTGCCTGTTCTCCAGCTTGGGCCATATTATAGCATATGGTTGATGATCATTAACAATAGAATAGCAATAATAATATTGCAAAAAGTAAATGCATGAAGTTATGATCTCTGTTTATTGTTTCTAAAGGAGAACACTGACAAGGGTAAACCTGGCCGCAAAAGGCAGCTATCTCTATTTGCTGAGTTTGTGATGGTATTGGTCCACCTTCCATTGGGTTTGCTTCAGAGACAAATTGCAGATATCTTCTGCATTTCCCAGCCATCAGTTTCAAAAATCTTTACAACATGGATAACCATGTTATACCACATGTTCAAACAAGTACTCATAAGGTAGCCATCTAAACAGCTGGTTAAAAAGCATTTGCCAAAATGCTTTTCCAAGTATCTGAGAACACATGTTATTATTGACTGCACAGAATTAAAGGTCAAGAAACCCATGGCCAGTGCCCCCTCTTCTCAAAAAGTCACTTGGAGTGATTACAATAGCCACAATACATTCAAATTACTTGTTGGAATCACCCCTTCAGGAGCATTAGGTTTCGTCTCTGATCTTTACTCTGGGGCAATATCTGACCGTGCAATAACTATCAGGTCGGGCTTAATTGAAAAGCTAGAGCCCATGGATGATGTCATGGCAGATCGGGGATTTAACTTAAGAGACCTTGTCACCAAGAGAAATGCAACATTGAACATACCCCCATTTGCAAAGGGGAAGCAGTTGTCAACAAAAGCATGTACTAAAACAAGAAGGATAGCATCTCTTAGAATTCATGTTGAGAGAGCCATCCAGAGAATGAAAAAGTTCAGATTATTGCAAGGGGTCATCCCCATTAGTATTGCTGCAGGGGCTAACCAGGCTGTATTTGCCTGTGCAGCTCTTTCTAACTTGCTAAAACCACTTGTTAAAAAGTAAATGCCATTATTTACATATACAAAGGCTGTTGCCTAAAAGAAGCCGGGTTTCCTAGGAAGCCCAATAAATTATATGATGCTTGGCAGTATAATCCTAAAACAAAAAACATTTTGTTATTTAGTAGTTTTCTTTTTCCCAATAGAGCTTTGCTATGATACCTTAACATAAATCAATGTAATGGTACTTACAAAGTTTCTCTAGAAGGCAACCAGTTCTAGTCCAAGTTGAACTCTTGGATAAGCAAGTTCATAGACAAGGAATGTGTCAAAAAACAATTCAATTTTTTTTAAGTATAGGAGACCAAAACTCCTCAGTAAATTTAACTTTTTCATAAAACAAACCTCCATCAGTCCCCTGGGCTATGAGAACTCCCCAGTGATATTCTGTGACAAACATTTGCTGATACAACTGAAAATAATACTTGTGGTTTTTGTTAAGCTGAATAATTACAGTATTGTTGTGTTGCACCTTCAAACATATGTGTTGCCTTCAAAGGACATCTATGAAAGTTTCACCAGGTTTTACTTATATGTACTTAAACTCTACAACCCCAGGGGTTCTTTCCTCCTCATCAGTAACAATGCCATCCGGGCTTGCACCTAAAAAACCATGGATTTTGCTGATAAAAAAGCCACACTTTGTAATAGAGACTCCTTTCTTCCCCTCACTGTCCAGTATGTTTATAAATGCTTCTGCAATGCTATCTTCATTTTGTAGTACTTGTAGCATTGCAGCAGATTGGGGGGTATTGTTCACCAATAACTCCTTCATTGTTTTTGATGGGGAAGTAGCTGGTTTTAGGCTTGCCACCCTTTTACATTTAGATGCTGCTACTCTGCCTTTTCTGTACAAAAACCAGTCAGATTCTTGACTTTGAAGCTTTGTTTTCTTTTCAATAAAGTTTATTTCATCTTCAGTGAAGTTTAGTTTTCTCTTTATTCCCTGTGCCTTTTGCTTAATTTCATCAACACTTGGGGGGTGGTTTCTGAAAGGTGATGTACATCCCAAGTGAAATGGTTGTTCTTTGATAGATGGATTATCACTTGGCAAAGGTGGGTCACTTGCATTATTTTGTTCTGTGATTTCTTCAATGGCTTCAGTTGCTTCATTTAATCCAGGATCAGGTAAGAAATGAAGGCCTACTGCTGAAAGAACTTTATTAATAAGCAATCCTCTGAACTGTTCAACTAGATTCTCATTGTTTACAGCTGCCTTTGGGCATGGATCATAATTCCTGGTTGAAGGCTTTGCTGCCTTTTTCTTTTTCTTACCGATTTTAGGTTTGGTCATATCTTCTAAATTACTAGTTTCATTGTGTGTCCTCTTTCTTCTTTTCCATACGCATTTTTCGCCAGTGCAAGTGACCACTTCATTGTGTCGAAGAGTGTCTTCAAGATCAATGAGTGCCGCACCTATGTGACGGCAAGCCCCATCAGAGCTGTAAAGTGAAAGAAGGTGCAAGTTGTTAAACGATGAAATAAAAGTAGTATAAAACAGTCCACCCCATCGTTGTATTATGTATAACTTAAAGTGTAATCACAAAGAAAACCAGGTGCACTTACCTGCCAATGCAAGGACAGTGTGCAGAGAGGACAACACCGCCCTTCTGGATAATTGTCCCACCACCATACATCGGCTTGTTTCCTAAAGGTGTTTTCTCATTCCGTAGGTTTAACAGATAATTTTATGATGTGGTGTTCAAAATAGATGTTCTTGTTTCTTTGTAAATTGTACACATGTCCATCCCAGTGTAACCGGTACCCTTCGAGAGACTTGTTCGCCTTCAGGGATTCTTGGTCATATCCCTTCTTGTTTATTAAATAGCAGTATAAATCTCCCCAGGCAAAGTCTGGGGCATCTGAAATATCAGTGCTCCAGTCAGAATGGAGGTTAAAAAGATTCGGGATTGTACCATCTTTTGTAACCAACTTCACATTCACAACATCACTTATGGACTCACTGTCGTCTGTCAATTCGAGAGCAAGTTCGTGAGCTTTTTCTGTCAGTTCGACTAATTCTTCCTTTTTTTGTTGAAGACAAATATTCATCGAACTTGCAGGTATTTTTTCAAGTTCTGGAACCTTCCAGTTTTTATAATTTACTTCCTTTTTCGCCAAACCAGCCATAATCCATAACTTACTTGTATTTTCGCGGCAACTTTCCCCACATTAGCCTCGCATTCATGCGAAAGGGCCCACTCGTCCCAGGGCCATTGGGGAATACGAATATCTGAAAGTGAAGAATGATCATCGCAGTATATTTTCCAATTTAAGCAATTGGAAAGAAGAAGCCTGAGAAAAAATCAGGGCTTCAATGGGATTCGAACCCGTGACCTCCGCGATACCNTGAACCTGACTTTGTTTTTACCCTTTTTGGGCAGCTCGGTTCTTGTGGGACGTTTCAGCTGCCCCATGCATTCCGGTTTGTGCCTTTCCAGCAGCTCCTTTCTTTGGTATCCGCGCAAGCCGCGTTCGCAAAAATGTTTGCTCTCGTTGTGCCTGTTTTGATCATACAGCAGTCTGTTGAGCCCTTTCACGTGGGTATAGTGCGATTTTTCTTTATCCTGTATTAACCTCAAGTTGATCCTCGGGAGGCTTCCGTCTTTTTCACTGAGCCTATGCACGATAACACGTTCCTCTTCCCATCGGAAGACATTTATCGCCAGGTTCGGGTTTTGTTTTTCTAGCTTGTCTATCTGTTTCACCGGTGTTGGGAAGGCTATTCCTGTAACATTCAGCCCGTTTTCTGTGGGGTAGATTGACGGCCTTGCCGGATTTTTGTCAACTGTCGCGGGAAATAATGCCGCACGCAGCGCCCATCTCAAGCACTTGTTGTCCCGGTTTTTGACGTTGATGATCGCTTTTTTGATTTTTAGCTTTTGAGGCAGAATTATATAGCTACCTCCACGAAAAGGCTGGTATCGGGCGACATTAACGAAGGCATCCAAAACGGCTTCTGCCACCCAGCCTGAGCCTCTTTGAGACCATGCCTCTATTTCGCCTTTGAATTCATCAATGGATTGGCGTAATACGCTATTTACTGTTTCCACGTTGTTTCTGTTAAAAATCGCTGGTTCTCTCTGTTTAAAATAACGTTCCATTTGTTGTTTTACACCATCTCTAGTTATCGAAAACCTAACGTTAAGCGCAAACTGCGTTTTAACGCTTTCTAGGTTTCGGATTTCATTTTCTACCACTTCGAATTTTGCTTTCGTTTTTTTGTGCGAATTTCAGAAGGTCTGCTTTAAATTTATAACCAAATGGAACCATCATTCTCCATACACGAAGCCATTCGTCGAAGTTGATTCTTACCAATCGAAAATCAAAATCCCTTCTGGGCCTTAAAGGTAGTTGAAGCCTCTCGTTCTCTTCTTGCGAGATAGGACCGAAAAACATCTCTAGCACATCAGAAGAAAACCTTGACGCGGCCATGATTGCTTTATACTGAGACAGGCCCCTTCTTCAATTAAAAATAAATCTATGACCAATCTCTTAGACAGTGTGCAACACACATGGATAAGGGGCTTCTGTGAACGAGCAAGTTTGGCTTTATTTTTGAGGCGAGCTGCGAGGCGAGACTCAAAAGTTAAGCAAAACTTGCCCCGGTCACAGAACCCCCCTTATCCATGTATGTGTATCTGTTTTATTGATATATTTTGATCATAAAGTTGACAGTTACTTGTGATAATACATTGTTCGTGGCTAGTCTTACGCAGCTCGTTTCGTCCCGGCGAAGGGACTCATCAGAGACCTTTCTGCTTGGCAAACACGTTGGGCATCGTGCCCAAAGTCCCGTTCGCTAACACAATGATGACAGCCATCTCGCCTTATATCGCATAAGGATTCCCGACCGCACAAATTCACAAGTGAAAATTGTTTGTGGCTCATCCTACGCTAGGTATTTATATGCTAAATTAAGCATTTCTTTTAAGAAAAGAAACGTTGCATCCCGGAAAAAAAAAATACAGTTGTCATGTTACACCCCTACCTCCCCATAACGGCCACCTCTCTACAACGGCCACTTTCCTCTGTCCCCAAGGTGGTTGCTGTGGAGAGGTTCGACTATAGTCAATCAATATTAATTTGCCTCGGTTGTCTATTACGAGACGCACTTATCAGTGTCTCTCTGGAGCAAGAGGTGTCAGTAGACCCTACTGAGCATTTGTGGAGAGCTTGTGTTGAAATGCAGAAGCTACATGATATCATCATGATTATAGATATCACAGCATATGGCTGCACTTAACAACACAAGTGATGTCTAATAGTATATTGGCTATTAGTACAAGACATTGACTTAGAACATCCTAGTTCAACTAGTGGATTAGTAGTCTGCAATCTCATCTCACCATAACAGGTCTCATGTGCACAAGGCTGACAAATTTTGTTTGGCTCCACCAAAAATCTCTAAAAAATTGTCTCCGTCAAATTTTCAGTTTGGTAATCGTGACGCGCTCAAAAACAGTAAAATTTTTGTTGACCACAAAGTGTCAATCACATGGCAAGATCAAAGATGAAAGAAAGATCAAAGCGAGATCAAGTTACTTGATTGACGTCTTCCTTCAGATCATGGCGTGTAAATTGAAAACTCTGTAAGTTCTCACGCGTGACAAAACTTTTTCCTGCTCTCAAGTAGGACGCCGGTTTGGTAAGGCTTGACAAAATTTGGTAGGAAGAAAATAACCGTATGCACTTGTATCACGAAACTGTTGACAGATTTTTTTTGAAAAATGAACAAAAATTTGCCCATTGCTCATGGACCCACATTGACCATAATTTTTCTCTGAGGAAACAAGAGAATGTTTATGACGTTTGGAACTCTTTGCTGCAGCTGTTCAGTTACAGTACCTGTTGTTGTCCATTAAGTGCTGTGTCACATTTCGACATAAAGCGGAACCCCGTTAATCTGGTCACCAACAGGCCACTAAATTTGGACCTTATTATCGGGCTGGCCGCATTAAAGGGGTTCTTTAAATAATACATGTATGTAGATATAGCCAAACCTTAGAAGTGGAGCTCCTGATTGCAATAAGTTAACATGGCTTGAGCCTGCAATCCAATCGAAAACCAGTTTAAAAATCAAAATAAGATGGCCGTAATAACAAGGTAAGCGTATTAACGGGGTGGCCATGAGGCGGAGTTCCACTCTATTTCATATAATATTGCTGAATGATTGTATTCTAAATACACACAATGTTAGCAAAATGGAAAAAATATTCTCTTACCTAGTGAAGCAGTTGTAGGCGATCTCTGCACGTGATACATGTATTTTGCACTTTATAACTCCTTTCTTACAAATGTGGTAATTTTGTTCACAGTTTAATGCTTTGTTGATTATTGATGAAGTGCAGACTGGTTGTGGAAGTACTGGCAAATTCTGGTGAGTTTTGATTTTAATACAGAACAAATAGAATACAATGCAGTTGACAATACAATGGTATGAAAATAATTACTGCGTAATGTTGTACAGCTAGAGAGCACTACACAGTAAAATTTTGACTTACACACTAACGCATGTATTATTTTATCAAATTGAGTAAAAAACTATTAATAATTTAAATAATACAGTAAAACAACAGTCTAGAAATACGACATTAGAGAAAACAGTAGTGAGAAACAAGAGTTAGTTTGATACAGGCAAAAAAGATTGCAATTAGATATCAAGATTCAGCAGGTTGAAACAACTACATGCTCACGGAATCTTGTATCTGAGATGACTAGGTGGATACCTTAATTTTCAGTGCAGTTTTGAATGCTAGTAAGCAGTGAGGTTTACTTTCTTTGTATACAGTGTAGATATGAATCTTGCCTCGATCAAACAAGAATTTATCGTGCCAAAAAGTTGTTTTGCAGGGTGACGTGCATAGATTTTATCTGCATTTATAAGTAAAATTGAAAGAATCCATTAAGGGGCAAAAGAGTTCCAGAGGGTTTTAACATAATTTATTTGCATTCTGCATGCAGATGCCCACGGGACTGGTTAGTGTTAGAAAATTGACAGTTGTCCTTTCGATTTTTTTGGCCTCAAAGATCGAGTAATAAGACACTGACTTGATTTACCATATACTTTAGATTTTTACTCAGTTGCCTCAAACCCAGATTAAAACAGACGTATACAGCAGAATAATCGTTCAAATCTTATTCCTAGGGCTCATGAACACTGGGGTCTCGATGAACCACCCGATATTGTGACGTTCTCAAAGAAGATGCTGATTGGTGGCTTCTACCACAAGCCAGAAATTCGAGTTCAGCAGGTTAGTTACTACATCCGACATTTATTGATTAATTTACTTACCTAAGTGAATGAGAAGAATCCTTATGACATCAGCGCCGGTTACGAACTTAATAACATCATGCAGATAATGATTTGGGAATTTATACAGTCATATTTCATTTTTTAAATGAACACTGAAAATTAGCAACATTAATTTGCACTCTTTGNTTGTTTTAGTAGAATTCTTACTATAATTTACTTCAAATAACGGTTTCCAATTATTTCTTGACGTATTATTTAAGTTTGCGCCTGAAAAAGATCGCTCGGATTGAATTGTCATTTAAAAGTGAAGTTGTGTGCATGCGCGCATCAGTTTTTTCCGCAATAATTTTAACTTTTTTAAAAGTCAAGAAACCGTAAATGTCCTTCGTTTAGACTTCTCAGGAATTTAATTATCCATTTGCAACGTCGCCATTTCCTAGACGACCTCCAGCCACTGAACACTAATGGCTGATAGTGTTCAATGGCTCAGCCAATCAGATTAAAGCATTTGCATTAGTGTACCAGTAGAATTCTACTAAAACTCGATAGAAACACAGAACTAGCACGAGCTGTTGGCGTAATGATGGCGCGAGCAAATAGAATTTAAATTTTGATAATCAAAGTTAACAAGTTGTTTTCCTTTTTTTCGTCGCGGTGTTTTCTAAGAGAGATAGAAAACATGTTCTCAGTGTTTCTATCGAGTTTTAGTAGAATTCTACTAGTATACTAATACAAATGCTGTAATCTGATTGGCTGAACAAAAGTATCAAATTACAAACGTTGGCGTGAAAAGTAATGCTACAAAATGAACGAAACTCAAGATAAAATACCACAATAAATTTAAACCGTCTTGACAAACGGTAATTGTAAGTTGTTTTGGGGCAAAACACAAACATGAAACATACACACTGCTAAGATTATGTCTTATCAAGTTTTTGTCCGCTCATATTCTGCAAAGGGGAAAAGGCCTAGTTGGCTACCAACGGAGAGAACAGCAGGGGTGAGGACCTGTGTGACTACTGCATCAGAGCCGTAAATTACACTCTGCACTATCTGAGATTGTCTCACTAGTTTTTCTTATGTTCTTTGTTTTGTAGCCAGCACGTATTTTTAACACATGGATGGGAGATCAAAGCAAACTTGTGCTTTTAAAGGAGGTTGTTAAGACAATCCGAGAGGAAGGCTTGCTTCAGAGAGTAAAGGAAACTGGCCAAGTGTTGTTGTGCGGTCTGGAGAACATTCAGGTAATCACATGTCAAATTCAACCAGAAGGCAAAGTGCACACTGAAGCAGAACATTACACAGGAACGGACTTGCTTTTGTCCACAAATTGTTTCTGCCTTCCTTCTCTTCGACGCAAAAATAAAGCTTCAGAGTGTCTAATTACTGCCCTGCATTCAGGTAAACTTACCTAGCCTTTTAGTTTAACATTTCAGTTTCCTGGAAGAATTTGCAAGGTGTGGTTTTGATTCAGTTCAGGTTTTAAGTACTTTTCTGTGGAGAACAAGAACCGTTGATTGTGTTTTGCTGCTTTAAGTTAAGTTAATTTTTATTAATTAATTAGTATTTAGCATGGACTGTTTATTAGTAGTTTATTAGTATTAATTTTTTATATATATATAACTTTAAATATTAGTATTCATTTTTACCTGATGATTTTTAACCGTGTATAAAGAAATGTTAAATAAATAAATAAATAAATAAAATAAATAAATTACATTTTAAACAATATTGCACAGGAAGTCTGTGCAAACTAACAGATAACATAATATTCTTAAAATCCCATATCTTCAGATAAGCCAGGAAGTAAGTTCGTAGATTTCAAAAGGTTGCACTCTTCTTCAGAATTTGAATATTCCTTAGGGCGTTTTGTCTGTTATGAGCTCCGAAAAGGTTTAATGCGTAAATTATGAATCAGCACGAAGAAGGGTTGCAGCTCAGACTGGCTTACCAACTGAATGGCTGGCTGAGTGACTGAATTTCACTGAAATGGAATATTTCTTTATTGGCATTTACTTTTGAAAAGGAATTCATGAAATCAGACGTTTGGAAATACGCACTCATTAGTTCACGTGACCGCACTCATTTTACCATGTGTTCACTGGTAACTAATTTTTAACTCTAATTTACACATTTAGGAGAAGTATCCTCGACTATTTTCTCGTGCCCGAGGTGTAGGAACTTTCTGTGCAATTGACTGTCCAGATGGAGATATTCGAGCAGAATTCCTTTCAAGAATGAAAAACAATGGTAAGTTGGTTTTAAGTTATTTTTTGGACCTAACTTGCCTAACTAGAGACTGTTGATTTTACACTGAGACTTCATGCAGGAGGATCAATTCTTGTTGATATTCAGGCACTCAGTTCTATGGGATGACTTATTTAACAGATTTAGTGTTTTTTCAATTGCTCTGAAAGTTCTACAGGTAGCTTTTTGGACATTTTTCGTGTGTTTATCAAACAGGTGAATTACCCAATAACTAATAGCTCTAACAACCTCTGATAACCGATAGCCCTAGTAACCTCTCTTTGCGTGAATTCTGAAAAATGTACCAAGAAAGTAAATTTGGATTTGATTGTGTTTTTGTGTGGGATTTCCCACACCTTGTCAACGCCAGCGAAATTTATTTATTTATTTATTTTTTATTTATTTATTTGTTTGTTTGTTTATTTATTTATTTATTTATTTATTTATTTATTTGTCCACGAGAGCAAAACGTTTGTCAAGTGGTTTCTACTTGGCGTGTAGACTGGGTTCCGCTAGCAGAAGGTTGAGTGTTTTTGTGCGGCGGCCATTAGTGTGATTACTCTTACCGGGTGTTGTTTTTTGGGCGAATTCTGACTTGTTTTTGAGATTCGGAGGGAGTCTTAGGCCTTAGGTCTTAGTGTTTTTAGACACTCGCTGCCGTATTTATTTTTGACGTGCCATTTATTATAAGGTGGGTAAACGTTCGCTTTCTGTATACGTGCGAAATTCTTGGATGAATAAGGAACAATCAATCAATCATACAAAGTTCCAGTTCTCGGACAGAACTTTCTGCAATTACATTTTTAAATTATGTCACATTGAAATTCCTTCGATCAGCTGAAAATCCCAACAATTTCTGCGGAAAATGAATTCAAGTAAACAGCGCCGCGCAGTCTGCAACTGTCGGAAGAAAATTTACACTTGATTGATTTCACTGCAATCTAGGACCAAGATTTTAAATAACTCTACTGAGAGCCTGAGAGGTTTAAGGGAGACAAAGCATTATTTTCACGGACAAAAAAAAAACGATTTTATACTCACGTTCTGTACACAACGCCAAACTTTGCTAAATGACGTTCTCGACGCGACTTGGCGCCACTGACACATTACTTTCAACTCCCGTCTATTTCTAAAATCAGCATATTTATATCAACAACCGCAGTTTTACGGACAGATATAACATAATGACAAAGCCCAGTATTTTCCTGTGTATTTATGGTTAGCAAGTTGAGGTCCTCTCCACTGATAAACCATGATTTCTTGATACGTTGCGTGACGGTGCTGTTTTCCGTAGATTCACAAGTTTAAAAGGACTAAATATTTGCATTTGCCTTCAAACTTCACGCTAAACATTCTCACATTTACTGGTCATGTTTAACCACAAAAGCTTATTTCTAAAAGTATAATTTACATACAGTTTTCTCAGCTGGAAGCAAGAATATTAGCTGACATTTGCAACCGGAGCTGATTTATCGTAAACAAACTCCGTGCAACCAGCGAGCGATTCTAATATTTCTGCTGATGAATAAAAGTAGGCAGCATTTCTATTACCGTTCCTTGGTTCAGGCTTACTCTTATGGCTTTAGAGTACTTTTCCAAACAATTTCGACTGGATACAGACTGAACTTTTCATATGAGAGTGGGGGGCAGCGTCTGCTAAGGCTAAAGGTCAAATGCAACGAAATTTTGACAATTTTTCTTTTGTCGAAAAACCTTTATAAAAAAGTCAGTTAAAAGAAAAGCAAAACAAAAAAACAGGTGCAGTGACAACGACAAGAACAATTAAAAGGAAAATCAAGGAATTGGCTTTTGATTTCGCGGTTTGGTCAACCATGCTCTACTAATTATGGGTCAGCACCGACTTTCTCCTCTCGCAAACTTCTACAGCGCCATTTGAAGATGGCGAAAAAAGGGTTTTAACCTCAAAGGTAGTAAAGAGTGAAACCCAGTAGCGTTAAATAAAGGTTACAAGGAGTTTTTGATCGGTTAGATGTCCAGCACCTGACCTGCTGGCCACAGTTTATCTCTTACGTAATATATAGATTTAGCCAAGCCTAAAAGCGGAGCTCCTGATTGCAATATCTGACCATGAAGGAAAAAGAAAATTATTTTTCTTGGATCAGAAACTCAAAAAAAAAACGATTGTGAGCATGTAATTGTTCAGCATGTGGTTTTGTGCTTTTTTCCGGTTAAATTTTAACAAACTATTCCCAGTAAGCCTAACCAAGATTGTAGAAATTACGTACCCATTATTAGGGACTTTCCAAGAGACAATTGTGCAAGGCATATGTCAGGAGAAAAGTCAACAACGCGCCAGGGGTTAATTTGCACCGAGATTTTGCCTTTGCGAGTATTCCCTCCTTCTCCTCCAAAGAAATAACCTGACTTGAGCCCGCAATCCAATCAGGAAACCAGTAACTGGTCAGTGGTCAATTTTAAAAAACCATGCACCCTCTATAAGCTTTCAACCTGAGCCTGCAATATGGTCACATGATACTGGTCAGCATTGTGACAGCTGTCGATTAACAATAGCATGGATGCCCAAAATCAAAGATGTAGCTATGGTAATGGTACTACTCTCAGTTTTCAAGGTATTGGCATACT